CGCCTTCCAACTGTGGGCCAAGTATAACCACAAATCGGATGAAACTATTACTTACCAGTGCCATCAAACTGAGCAAGGGGCCACACGTAGGCAGACATGCCCACAGGTAGTATTCACCTAGCATTACAACAATGGTGCTTATGGCTGAAGCAATCACAGTAAAGGCCCTGTAAGTCTAAACCCATCCCATCAAGCCCTGTGGCATTAGGGGCCACATTCTAGCTCTCTTGAATGCCCGCAGTAGCGATAAACGTGAACCCTGCCAACCATGTACACCTGTACGATGACTGGCTTCTTGTCTTATTTATTTCAATGCTATCCCTCCAGTACAAACCTCACTTAGTGAGGCAGAAAGAAACTGCACTAATGAAGTGGTCAAGGGCTCCATCCCATGTCTTTCCCTGTAGTTCCTCAATATATACAAGGAAAGCAATGCAAAGTTCTATCATTAGACAAAGGCATATCTCCAATATCCAAGCTTACAACCTCTTGGGAAATCTTCCCTAAGCCACCCTCATCATACCGTATTAGTCACTTTCATGTCACTGAGACAAAATATCCAACACCTGCAACTTAAAAGGAGAAGAGCTTTATTTTGGCTCATGGTTTTAGAGGGTGTCTTAGTTGCTTCCTCATTGCTGGGACAAAATACTCCACACTCTCAAGTTAAAGGAGGAAAGGTTTATTTTGGCTCACAGTTTGCAGAGATTTCAGTCCACAGTCAGCTGGCTCCAAGGCAGGGTGGCATGGCAGAGGGGCATCGCAGAGGAGAAACTGTCCGTGATAGAGCAGGCAGGAGGCATCAAAGCAGTGAAGCAAGCCTCCCTTTCCCTTTTATCCCATCCAGGCTACAAGCCCTTGGGGTGGTGCCACCCACACCCAGGGTGACCCTTCCCATTATGCACTCCCCCAGAACTATGCTAAACCAATCAGTGGACTAATTTAGTATCACACACCCTAGATCCAGCCAGCTCTAAAATGCCCCACCTATGAGTGCATGAGGCTTTCAGGGGACATCTAGATACAAGCCATAACAGAGGGCTTCGTTTAAGTATATTTGGCTGGTTCCAGGGCAGAAATGGCATGATGGAGGGCACGGTGGAAGGCAGCTGCTCATGCCATGGCAGCCACGAAGCAGAGACCAAAGGGAGGAGCTGGGGACAAGAATACACCCTTCTAGGTCACACCCCCAGTGACCTTCTTCTTCCCATAAGGCCCCATCTCTGAACACATGAGACTTTTCAGGGACATTTTAGATCTAAATCATAACACATATCAAGAGCAACTTTTACATCACACTCCCTGAAAGTGAGCTCTACAATTACAATGCTGACTGCTTTCTCGACCCAAAGGTTTTGGGTGTTACTGCAAAAACAATTTTTATCTAAACCATGTTTAATCTCATGGAGAACCCCAACCACTCTCTTCATGGGAGTTTCTGCACTCAAATAGACAACTACTTCCTTATGCCACCTGCTCCTGTGGGGCCAACCCTGAGGCTACTGAAGGTATACAAATGGCTGCCCTAGATCGGAAGTGATGGAGCAGCTGGGCCCCATTGAAACGAAGCAATGTCCTGATCAATAGCAGCAGAAATAGCTCAGATATGATACAACTGATATCTAGTTTTGAAGTAACTTGGACTTCCCCGTGAGAATCTGTATCAGTCAGTGCTTACTAGAGAAAGAGACTTAATGCATGATATACAAATATGTTTAAGAACTTACAAGATTGGTTTAAATGGCAACGCACAGAGTCAGGTGTGGAAGAGTGTAAAAGGTCTGTCTGCACACTGGGGATCCAAAGGATCCAGTTGAAGGCCTGGATCTCACTGTAGTGTCCCTTGCGAGTCCATATCAGGAGGGTGAAGGGTCTGTGATGGAAGTAGCAGTCCAACTTCCCCATAACAGCTTGGATTAATCACCGCTGACAGTACTATGACTCGTTTTAGCTTGTTTTCTCAGAGGCACGAGGAGACTAAAATGACCAGGGGGAAGTCTCAGCTTCCAGTTCAATGGTATCATTGTTGTACTTCCTGGTACAAGTCTTTCCCTCTCTGGAACTAGGACTTCTAAGAGAGCAGAGCATAAGGTTGTGGGAACAGGAAGCAAGAATTGTGCTAGTGCATCACTAGGGGTAATGGTGAGCAGTACCATTCTCACTTCCAACCCTGGATTGCTAGACCTGTGAATCCCGGCTATGGGAGACACAGTACCTTATAGTGGACGCTGATTCAAAGCATATACAGTCACGCCGGGGATTTAGCTCAGTGGTTTTGCCGCCTGCTGCGCAAGCGCAAGGGCCCTAGTTCGATCCCCGGTACCCCCCAAAAAAAACAACAATGAAAAGAAAGATTATCATGACCACAGAAATTACACAGTCCAAGGACTGAAACTTGTGACCAAATCTCACTGTACTTTTGGGGCCATGGTATCGAACCACTACGTAGCCCTCAATTACTTATAGGCTATGCGTGGGAGTGCTGTGTGCCTGCCAACACATCTTGCTGCATGAGGGTAGATAACAGTCACCAAGTTTTGCAGATAGCCAGGGAAGGCACCACAGAGGCTACAGTGTCACTGGACTGACTGAACACATTGAGCAAATCTAAATCTCCCTTCCTGATCCATTCTTTTGCCTTTTCCCACTCACTTAGCAGATGGCTTACATAGGGACTTTGAAATCCTAGTTCATGCCTTTAAAGGACCCCCTCCCCACCGCAGATTGAACTCAGTGCCTTAGGCCTGCTAAGCATGTGCTCTACCACTTAGTTCAATCCCCAGCTTGGATTCTGGGTCTGGAGAATTTTTGCTGGCTCCAAACTCAGGCGTTAAGAAGTGATGTGCAATGTAGCATTTAAACTGAGCTGAGGCTAGAGATGGATGCCCCCGTCCAGCGACCCTACGTTGTTTGGTTCCTCATAGCATACCCAGGCTGTTCCAAAGTTACTGGTACCAAACTCAAATTTCCCACCTACCACATCAAGATATTTTAAGTATAGCCCAACTAATTCAATTTTTAGCCAATTAGAGGCCCCCTGCTTTGTATATACCCTGTGAAAACTGCACGTAATATTGGCTAGCCACAGGTAAGATAAACCAGTCTATATACCACCCTAAACCAATATTGCCCTTTAGAGCTCTCCAACACGGAGATTCTCCACCATGCTGCTCAGGATACATTCTACTGCCAAATGGAATGAAGTCCTCTCTTCATCCCCTGCTCTGGAACTTCTTTGCCCTCTTCCACTTACTTAAGAGTTCCACTTCCTTATAATGGGTGAATTTTATGGTATATAAATTTCATACTCAATAAAGCTCCAATGTTTTTTCTGATTTTCAAAACTGCACTATGATTGTGCAAGTGGATGGCCCAATTCTAAAGAGATTCATAGTAGATGAATGGATAAAAGCAAACGGTATATATACACAATGCAGTACTACTCGGCCATAAAGAAGGATAAATTTGAATCATTTGTGGGAAAGTGGATGCACCTTGAGTCCATAAAGCTAAGTGAAATAAATCACAGGAGGTTAAATATCACATGCTTTCTTTTATATGAGAAACCCAAAATATAAATAACTTAAAGAGCAAAATAAAAGATAGATGATTGAAAACAATGAGATAAGACTTTGTGGTGATGGGAAGGGGACTTGAGGATGGAAGGAGATGGGAGGGAGAGGAGAGTTACAAGTATCAAGAAGGGATATGTATATGTGCCAATTCTGCACAACAAAAGTATTTAATATATATCATAAACATATGCTAGTACTTTTTTAAACTGAGATTCACACTAAAGTTTTTAAAGATAAAGAGTCACAATGTCTGCAAGTTACTCTTTAATGGTTTAAAAAAATAAATAGTAATCTGAAGATTTCGAAGGAAAGAGCATAAAGCAAATAGGTCAAAAAGTCCAGTTCAAAATTGGTGAATGAGGGTAAAGGTTCTGTGGGAATTTTCTGCACTATTATTTCAATTTTTCTGTAGGTCTAAAATAAGTTGGTTTTTCTGTTTTTTGTTTGTTTGTTTTGGTACTGGGGATCCAACTCAGGACTTTGTGGTTGCAAGGCAGGCACAGTGCCACTGAACTAAATCCCCGGCCCTGAAATAAGTTTTTTTTTTGTTGCTTTTTTTTGTTTTTTTTTGGTACCGAAGATCGAACTCGGGACCTTGCGTTTGCGAGGCAGGCGCCGGAACCACTGAGCTAAATCCCCAGCCCCCTGAAGTAAGTTCTAAGTTAAAAAAAATTCCTTGAAAATCTTGTGTTTTGGGTGGAAGCTTTTAAAAAACCCACAATTTCTTCATCTATAGAATCAGAATTCAGGAAGACCGTGCTTAATGAGTGGTTCATCCCATGTTAATGACCGGTACCAGAAGAGATGGAGCAAAGATAAATTTTAGAAAGCCACCTTGACAAGTCAGTTTATGAAAAGTCGGGCGTGTGGCGCACACTTGTAATCCTACATACTCAGGAGGCTGAGGTGGGACAGGCCAGCCTGGGCAACATAGCGAAACTCCACGACATCTCTCCCATGCAAAAAAATTGAACCCTCTCCCCACAAAAAGCACTGTATGGAAGTTCCTGCACATTCCCGTATGAGGACTTGATCCAGGGCAGCTTGTGTAAAAAAAAAACAGGAATCCCATCCACCAGACCACCGTGGGCAAACTGTGGCCTCTGAGTCAAATCCCACCTGCCCATTTTTATATGGTTTGTAAGCTAAGAACACATTGCATTGTCAAATGAGTGCAAAAAAATCTCAAAAGAACATCGTGACACATGACAATTCGGTGAGAGTCAAATTTCAGTGTCCATCAATAAGATTCATACTCATTTAAAAAAAATAATTACACATCTTCACTAAGTTTATTACTTTTTAATTACATTTATTGGAACATTTTAGATATAATGATCACACTCATCATAGGGAATTTGCACCTGTACATGATATATCTTGCTGCTTCTTTTTCTTCCCATTCACTTTCCCTCCCTTCAACCCCTCTTCCCCTCATTTACAAAGCTTTGTTTCCATTTTTTCCCCTTCTATTCTCTTTTTTCTTCTTTTCTCTTCCTCCCCCTCCCCACCTGTTCCTCTTCCCATTGGAACATTTTCTTCCTATTTCCCAATATGCATCATACATTTTGGTCCTTATTTACCCTTTCGGTTTATCACACCAACTCGTTTGTTTATAAATCATCCAAGACCACTTTTCCACTACAATGGCTTGGCAGAGTAGCTGTGACAGAGACCACCTGGGCCCGAGAGCCTGAAATCTTAACTAGTTGGCCTTTGTACAGTCTGCCTAACCCTGTGTGGGCCTCACGGACCTAGTGTGGCTTCAGACCAGCGGTGCTCAGCCGGAGACATTCTGGAAGCCAAGCTGGGAGGGGTGCTACTGTGTCCAGTGGGCTGTGGCCAGGGACGCTGCTGATAAGCGTCCTGCAATGACCAGGTCAGCACCCAAGACAAAGAATGACCCAGCCCAGATGTCAACACAGCCAAGACTGAGGCACGGAGGCCCTGTCCTGAGTAAGGTAAACACTCCATCCTGCCCTTGACACCACCTCTGTGGCCCATGTCCACAGCCCACCCCGTGAGCACTCGGGTCTGCACGGAGCAATGTCTCTCCCCTAGGTTCTGCACATGCTCTCACATCTGTGACCCAGCGGCCCGCCGTCCCGGTCCTCCCTGCTGCCCGGCTCTGCGGTCTTTGCGAGCTCATCTAACTCCACATGGCCCCACCCTTCCTATCACACCCAAGTCAAGCTGCCTCTGCTTACTGAGGGTCAGCCAGATCTCCATCTGCAATGGACTGAATGTTCGTGCCCCGCTTACTGCAACTCAATTACTGAAGCCCTAACCCCTAATGTGATGGTGTTTGGAGGTGGAGCTTTTGGGGAGATTGGGCCATGAGGGTGGAGACCTCATAAATGGGACCAGTGTCCTTGGAAGAAGAGATAGGTGAGGAGCAATCCACTTTCCGGTCCCCCTTCTGTCCCTCTTAGACACAAGCTCTCTTTCTCTCAATAAATGTTTCCTACTCTTAACCTCCGTTGTTCCTAGAATTCATTCTTTGACTTTAGAGAACGTGAGTTCGCGTTTCAGAAATCTAGTAGGCTTGGGAGTTACATCTATTCCCCCTCTATCATTCTGGAGGTCTTCCACCGAGATTATTGGACAGAGAACGTAAGTTTGGCTCATGCTTATCCAACGGTGGCATCTATCTGTCCTACCATGGAAACTCAGAGGCCTGAGTGGCTTACTTGACTGATGGAATGTGGCAGAAGTGACATTCTGCAGTGTCCAGGGCTAGATCATAAGCAGCTTCGCAACTGCATCTCGCAGGAGATTTTTCAAGGAGTGCTCCCTTTCAGAATCCACCTGTCCTGCCTTGGTGGGGAGCCACACAGAGAGGCTACCTGTGGCTACTGGAGCTGGTTTTCCAGAAAATATGGCTAGTATCAGTTGCTAACCATGCGACTGATTCATTTCAGACATCCACCCCAGCTGACCTTCAAATGTCTCCAGCTCCTGCTTCTACCTGAGTGAAACTGTATGACGATTCCAAGCATGGGCTTCCAGCTGAATCCTGGCAACCTATGGAGTCATAATAGGTAGTAAGTGTTTGTTATTTTATTTATTTATTTATTTATTTATTTTAGTGTTTGTTATTTTAAGCACTAGGCTTTGGGATGCAGCAATAGACCACTAAAACATCCCTCCTTGCTATGGATCCTTAGAACAAGAGCCATCCTGGTTTATCTTATCTGCAAATTGTTCGACCCAAACATTATTCTCTAAGCAAATGCAAATTATAGTTGCTTCAAATCATCCTTCTTGGTCATCATCTGAGGAGACCACAAGTTCACAGCTCATTTACAGCACTGTCCACCATAAATATTTGAAAATAATGAGATGTCTTTCAAGCACTTCCAGATTTAAGCACTCCCCTCTCCTGGGGAATTCTAAATTGCTTTTTTTTTTTTAAATCAAAGTAACCCCAGCTGCTATGGAGTTCCAAGAGTTTTGTAAACACTATATGGGTGAAAACTGAAAAATGTTCCATTTAAAAATTGCAAATAGTATTATACACCTTAAGGAAAGTACAGATTTTCCTCTGATGCAGATGAACCCTTGGTTTAGAGCAAGGAAAATCACTTCACTTTCAGTTATACAAAAATACTGCAAAGACTCCTTTCTAAAAACCCAAGTTTGAGACTGCCAGTGCAAACAGCTGCATGTTCTGTACAACAATACAGTTTGTCTTAGCAATAAGCAGGTATTGCATTGTAGATAATTCATATTCAATGCAGTGTTTCTCAAACTTGAAAGTACTTCTAAAAATTATCAAAAATTCTATGTATGGGCCGGGGATTTAGCTCAGTGGTTTTGCCGCCTGCTGCACAAGCGCAAGGACCCAAGTTCGATCCCCGGTACCCCCCCCCCAAAAAAAAAATCCTATGTAGTGTTTTAAAGTATCATCACATTACTATAAAATTATTTGAAAATAACAAACATAAAAGAAATATGTGGCTACTGTGTTCCAAGCTTTGTTGCAGGCATTGGTAGCAAGCAGTCTCCATCTCTGAATGCAGGGACTCTATAATCTGTGGACTTATGATTATAAGTGGGCCAAACCACTAATTTTATATACATGGTATTATTCAAGATAGAAAAACCTGTATTTTGAGAAATGTACTCATGCTGCACTACTGATCTGATATCTCTGAAAGGCGAGAGGACGTGGAAGAGATTAGAAGTTCATGTTTTTGATCGCTCTGGAAAAGGGCTAAACCAGGAGGCAGAAGGAGGATTCAGAAAGTAGGTCTTATGGGGAAAGTAAAGATATATCTGCAGGCTCCTGTCAGTCAGATCTGGAAAAGGAGGCAAAAAGCTGCCCACAGTGCCCATTCTGCACTGGGAACCACAGATGCAAGCATGTTAAGAACACATAAAAATGTTTGAAAATGGAAGAAAAATTATTGGCTCCAAAATATGAAAACTGCTACATTAATACCAATAGATGTTTAATTCAATGCCCTCAAAATGTAACATTATGTCAACAGCATTAATTGTCAAAATTAGTAGTCATTAAAATGTCATTACATTTGAATATAAAAAAAGAAGAGATAGGTGAGCACGTGCTGCCCTCTCTGCTCTCTGCCATGAAGGACACAGCACACTGCCTGCGGCAACCCAAGAAGCAGCCCTCACCAGGAACCAAAGCGCTCACTCAGCAAGTGCGTAACTATGAGAAATAAATGTTTGCTGTTTAAGCCACCAAGTCAGTGGTAACTTGTTGCAGCAGCAAACCTGAGAAAGACACCATCATTTGCTGGGCTCGGGCCAGGAGGGTCTCAGCAGTGAGCCCATTCCCAGGGCTGCCCCCACATCATCACTGAATCGCTCCTGATTATTATTATTATTGCACTACTGGGGATTGAGCCCAGGGCCTTTCACACTGAGCTACATCTCTAGCATCTCTAGCCCTTTTTTATTTTTTATTTTGAGACAGGGTCTCATTAAGTCACCACGTTGCCCAGCCTGGGCTCAAACTTGCAATGCTCCTGCCTCAGCCTCCCAGAGTGCCTGGATCACCGGTGTATACCACCATGCTCCGCACACCCTCACCCTTTGTCCCACCCCAGGGGATCTTCTATGCTTGCACAGAGCTGAGTTGCCGGTGGGGTATTTGGAGATCTTCCTACTTCTGTCATTACCCTCCTTTCAGAAAACCAAGGCTGAAAACCAAGCTTCAGTGGATGGGGATAGCTCACTACAAGGGTGAGGCTATCACCACGGGCTATCATGAGGGCTGGCTTTGGGGCACCAGCGACGTACTATGAGTCCTGCTTCAGACGTTAAGACACATGGAGACTTGGACTCCTTATCCCTAGGCCTACGACTCAGTTTTCACTTTGTAAGAAGGGAAGAGAAGGGTGACCACACTCCCTGTGTGTGGTACCTGCGAAGATGATGACTGTAACATGGTGATGAGTAAGTTGAGAGCTAGGCTGTGAGCATCCTGTGGAGCCCGGGGCTTCCTAGGCGGAGATCAGGGCACTCTGGTTAGGAGTAGAATGCGGTGGGTCTGCAATAACAGAAATAATAAGAGATCACACTTGCAGAGCTTTCATTGTGTCCCAAGCACTGGGCTAGGGGTTTCTGCCAAAACACTCATCTAATCCTCACCAGGACCCTGTGAGGTAAATATTTACATTATCCCCATTTTATAGGTCAAATACATCGGTTGCCTGAGAGGCCTCTCAGCTTTCAGAGCCTAACCTCAAACGCCCGCTATACAGGGAGGCTGTCTCTCCCCACGGAGACCAGGTGGCTGTGCCCGTCCAGCATCAAGCATGCTCTGGTGAAGTCTTTAGCTGCGTCCTCAGACGCGAAGCCCTAGAACTGCACGTTCCCGCTACTGCCAAAGAGACCATCACTGGGTGATGTGGAAAACACCAGTGGGGATGTCTCATTCCTTTCTCATTCACAGCTCTCTGTGGTGAGTTATATACAATTCCCACCCTATGGAAAGTGTCACCCCTTGTGGGAGTAAAGGAAATCACCTGATGTGAAGTCACTGCTGTGGGATTCCTGCCATGGATGTATGAACTGAACCTAATCATGAGAACACATCAGACGGCCCCAAACTCGGGGCTGGCCTAAAGGCCTGTAATCTCCAAGAGCACTGGGGTCACAAAACTAAGGGAACTATGGGAAATAATTATTGTTTAAGTCACTCAGTCTACCATATCTTGTTATGGTGCCTGAGCAGACCAGATGGTGGTTATGTGGGAGAACATGCTTTGTCCTTTGGAAATGCATGCTCAAATGTTTAGGGGCAAGGAGGGCACAAGTTTGCAACCAATTCTCACAGGGTTCAGAAAAGAAAACACAGGTTGAGCATCCCCAGTGTAAAATAATCCCAACTCTGAAACTTTTTGAGCACCAACATAACACTGAAAAAATTTCAGGATTTGAGGTATAGTTCAGTGGTAGAGAGCATGTGCTATTAGCATGTGTTAGACCCTGGGTTTGATCCCCAGCACCACACAAAAAAAGTTGCAGACTTTGGAATATTTTGATTTTAGATTTTCAGATTAGGAATGCTCAACCAATGGAGTCTACACAAACATTTCAAAATCTAAACAAACACCCAAATCTGAAACGTGAAATCTCAAATATTTTGCATAAAGGATCCCCAGTCTGTAATATGTGAGATCTACAAATATATACAAATATAAAATTTATTTATCTATTTTTGAGACAGAGTCTCGCTATGCAGTTCAGGCTGGCCTTGAACTCATTGTGTAGCCCAGGCTGGTCTCAAACTCATGGAGACCCTCTTGCCTCAGCCTTCCGAGTGCTGGGACTATAAGCGTGTGCCACCACACCATGTATATATTTTTATAAATATACATGTGCAGAGAAAAGAGGGAAGGAGAATCATAAAACAAATGTGGCAAAACATTAATTGTTAAATCAGATTGAAGGGTATATGTGACCTCTGTATTGTTCGTGAAAGTTGCCTCTAAGTCTGAAATTATTTTTAAGAAAAAAAGATTTAAACAATTCTCTCATCTTGTTTATTCCTTCAGGCCACGGGATCGATGTTAGGAATTAGAGAAGTATTTTCCACCAATAATACTTTGGGCCCATTTCTATCTATGGTTAGGCCTGCAGTGTCAAAGGCTGTCTCCTTACACAAGCGCAACACTAGTCCCTTGTTTCTACCGCACTCTGTGGTTCCCACCTCCCTCCACTCTCTACAGTCTTGGAGTTCGTCAGCATCCTGACAGGGTTGCCTGGGTCAGCTTCAGCCCCCAGACTGTGAGGAGGGCCACTGCATCGCAGTGAGGCACCTGAAGCGACTTCCCTCTTCCCTGCAGGACTGAGCTCTCTTTTTCCTTTGGGTGACAAAAAGCATGAGTCCCGAGTAACACTCGCCCTGAACATGACAATGACTCAGGACACTTCCTACCACCCCTTCCCTGCATTCCACCCAAACACAAAGTCCAAAGCCTTCCCAGCCCCTACCTGTCATACTCTATGTCTACTCTGTTGAGAGGCAGAGCTCAAATTCTCCAACACCCTGGAAGCCTGGCAGAGCTGGCTGGGGACATGGGGGACTTGTCTCAGTGAGGTTGGCTGTGTGCCCCTGGCCCGTGTGTCACCAGCCAGGCCCTCCCTGCTTCTGAGGGCAGAGCAGCACCCTTTTCTGCTCCCTGAGGCCATTCTCCAAGGGCTCATTCAGCCCTGTGGCTGTCTCCCATCACCCCAAACCCTCTTACAAGACTGACCCCCAGCCAGGCCCACAGTGGACCTGCCGGGGCCCTTCTTGTCACCCCACCATCATTTCTGTCCATCTGTGGTGACATTCACACCCCCAGATTGTGGCTGAGATTCGCACTCTCTGGGCCCTTCCCTGCACGCTGCCTCCCCTTCTCAACGGCTGTACAGCCTTAGGACCCCAACCCAAGTAGTGCCGTGGCAGGCATACCTTTCCTTGGGGATGCCACTGTGTATTCGTTCTTAGAGTCAGTCACCAATCTGCCAAGAGCTGGCTCCTGTTTTGGAGACGGGGGGGGGGGGGGGGCTGAGCTGTCATGGCACTGAGGGTTTACACTGAGAGAGGGCCCAGCTCCCTGAGACTGCTAAGGAGTCAGTTCCAGCCATTCCCTGCCCTGTGGGTCCTCCACTCTTGCCCTCGTAGTCTGAAACCTGGATGGGCCATGGTGTAGGTTCATCATGCAGAGGATGAGGGTGACACTGGGTGACAGCAGCACTGCCCCACTGTTATCAAGTAGTTCTCTTAGAAATGGCTCACCAATTAAACTTATTCCAGGTCCTTCTTGCCTCAAAGACAGAACTGGATGAGACAGGCCAAAAACGGTGCCAAGAGTTTATTTGAAAAGTGAGGGGTAAAACTGTAAGGGAAAAACTGGCTCTGCAGAGCAAACTTGGACTGAACAAGAGAGAAAAAGAGAAAAAATAAAAGTCTAAAAGTCCACCCTAGAAGACCTAGAGGGGGCTGCTGTGAAGAGCCACAATATTGGGCTCCTTGTGGTGTCTGTGTCCTTATATGTCATCCACATCTCCTGGGAGACTGTGAGAAGTTCCACATACGGGGTCCTGGGAATTATCTGGTGCTGTCCTGGGATCTTGTAACTGACAGGTCCCACTTATTTCTCCAGCCAGCTTTCCCACTCCCCACCTCCTATATCATCCTCCTTCCACAACCAGCAGCCACTAGCCCTGGAAGGAGGGGGAACCTCCGTCTTGTTTGGGCCAAAGAACACTGAGGTCTTCTTGCTCTGGCTCATCGTGAGTAGCCTAGGCCACATGGCCTGCCTGACAAGTGCACTTTCTCCATGGTGTCTGGCTTGCTGAGTCTGCCTGTTTAAGGGGGTGTCCTCCCTTTCAGACTTGAAAGCACCTCTAGAGCTGACTCCATTTTATACTTGTTGGCATCTCCACACTTAGCATAACATAGCTGGGATCCAGAGACTTGGGTTTCAGAATGTACAGAAGAAGAAGGGAATATCCTATCAGGGCCTCAAGATTTTCTAGTCACTTCTTATATCTGTGGCCACTTTCCATCCCTCAAGTGGAATGGCTACACTTACACTCGACCTTCAATGACTCCCCAGGGTGTTCCAAGGCCTGATCCCTGCCCGTGAAGGGGCCCTGCGTGTGGTTTCCTGCCTTACCTCTCGAGTCACCCTAGATGGACCTCCCCTCTCCAAACAACCCACAATTGCCCATGCCCTGCTCCTTGCCCACATCTAAGACCTCTTCAAGAAAGTCCTCTTCTCTGGGGTCAGCCTCCTGGATCCTTCCCCCTCTTTAAGAACCAGCTCAAAAATCACATGGCCTGAGCTGCCATGACACCATGTTGGTCTCGGTCATGCGCCGGCCATATCCCACTTCGTACCGTCGGATTTCTTCCTTTGGCCCAAGGCCCCATGTGGTCTGAGGGCCAAGATGACACTATGACCCCGTTTCTCAGAGCACTGTTCACTGGTTTGCCGGCTGTTCTCAAGTGACTTGGATTGAGAACAGCCAATGGGGCTGGGGCTGTAGCTTAGTGGCAGAGGGCTTGTCCAGCACGTGCGATGTGCGAGGCCCTGCGCTCCACCTCAGAGCGCAGCAAAAAGAAACAAAAAGAACAGCCAATTGTCTACTAGGTGCACACACAGCAGCACAGAAGTACAGTACCTGTTTCCTGCCATCCAGTGCTCACTGCTCCTCTGTCAGGCTGGCAGCAGGACCACAAATCTTCCCAAAGGGCGACAGAGCTGGAAAGAACGAAGGTCACCTGCAGTGCTAACCACACTGGCACACCAGGCAGGGGCCACTGCTTGCTGAGAAGGCCAGGCGCCCTCCAGTGCAGGCTTCAGGGCCTCTTCCTTGACCATGTGGCCTCACACAGGAATGACCCTTCCCCAGATGATAACCTGGGTGGACGGACTGGCCTGTGTGAAGAGTGAGGGAGGCCTCTTCAGTTCAAGCTGCTATAACACAATTCCACAGACTGGCTCATTTAAAAATAGGAGAAAAAGCTGGGCGTGGTGGCGCACACCTGTAATCCCAGCACTCGGGAGGCTGAGGCAGGAGGATCACCCCGAGTTCAAGGCCAGCCTGAACTACATAGTGAGACCCTGTGTCCAAAACCCAAAATAAATAAATAAATAAAAATAAATAAAAATAGGACAAATCTATTACTCACAGCTCTGAAGGATGGGAAGTCCAAGATCAAGGTGCCAGCAGATCTGGCGTCTGGTAAGGGCTTGATCTCTGCTTCAAAGATGGCACCTGGTTGAAACGTCCTCCAGAAGGGATATAAGTTGTGTTCTTATGTGGCAGAAGCGAGAGAAGGGCAAAAGAAACAAATGCTATGCCCTCTCGTGGATGGAGGGACAGAAACAGCAAAAAGGATAAACAAACTTTTTCCCCTTTAAGGCTTTTTATAAAGGCATTAATCACTTCCCCAGATTTCACCTTCTAAAACCATCATTTTGGGGGCTAAGCTTCCAGTGTAAGAATTGTGTGGGAGGCTGAGTCGGGAGAATTGACCCGAGCATGGACAACTCAGTGACTTAGCAAGACCCTCTCTCAAAAAAAATTTTAAAAGGGCTGAGGATGTAGCTCAGTGAGAAGTCCCTGGGTTCAATTCCCAGTACAAACAAACAAACAAACAACCAACCAAACAAAACCCAAAAGAACCAAACAACCAAACTAATAAAACAAGTTCTGGATCAAGGATGGTGGCATACCTGAAAGCCCATCTACTCAACAAGGTGGGAGAGGAGGATCGCAAGTTCGAGGCGTGACAACCTGCCTCAAAATAAAAATAAAAGAATTTTGGAGGGACACACATTCAAACCATAGCAGCAGGGATATGGCCGCACTCTCTTCATACCAGTATGCCAGGGGCACATGAGAGAAAGCAGGTGACAACAGGCTCCGAACCATGAAGGGAAGTGTGGAACTCCCTGGTCTGGAGAGAGGTAAAGATGCAGGAGACAAAACAAGCACTAAAGGAAGAGTTGCTGCTTATAGAATCTGAACAGTTCTCATGTGTAGTTCAAGAATCTGGCTTTGCTTCTCTTCCATACTTCCTTCTGTGAGTGAAGTGGTTACCAATGAGGCTCTGCCCAGATCCCCTTTTATGGGTCAGTGCCCTGCCCACACCTGTGCTTAGCGTGGCCTGCTCAAGGCTCCCTGCTGTCTTTGCGCTTAAGGGCCATGATTGGCCAACTGTGTTTCCTCTTGAGTTGGGCCTTGGTCAACTGTCATTTTTCCTAAGGACTGCCCTTGGCCAACTGTCCTTCCACTTGAAGACTGCCATTGCCCAACTGTTCTTCCGTTTGAAGGACGACTGGCCTTCCTCCTGAGGCTGCCCATGGCCAGCTATACTTCCTCCTGAGGGACGTCTTTCAAAACTGTTCTTCCTCCTGAGGTCTGTCCTTGGCTGACTGGCCGTCCTCCTGAGGACAGCCATTGGCCAACTATGCTTCATCCAGAGGACTGACATGGGCCAACTGTCCTTCCTCCTGGGGACTGCCACTGGCCAACTGTCTTTCCTCCACAGGCCTTTCCTTAGCCAACAGTTCTTCCTGTGGGGGATTGTCCTTGGCCAACTGTCCTTCCTCCTGGGGGCTGCCCAGGCCAACTGTCCCTCCTGCTGAGGGACAGTTGGCCAAATGTCCTTACTACAGAGGACTGTCCTCAGTCAACTGTCCTTCCCCTGAGAACTGCTCTCAGTCAACTGTTCTTCCTCCTGAAGACTGCCCGTTAGCAACTGTCCTTCTTCCTGAAGGAAGCCCCTGGCAAACTTTCCTTCCCCTTAGGACTGCACTCGGCCAACTGCCTTTCCTTCTCAAGACTGCACTGGGCCAACTGTCCTTCATCCTGAGGACTGCCATCGGCCAAATGTCCTTCCTCATGAGGGTGGCCCTGAGTCAACTGTCCTTCCTCTTGGGGGCTGCTCTCGTCCAACTATACTTCATCACGGGAACTGCCCTTGGCCAACTGCCCTCCCTCCTGAGGGCTACTCATGGCCAACTGTCCTTCCCCTAAGGACTGCCTTGGGGGGCCAGGGATTTAGCTCAGTCGCATGGTGCTTGCCTCACAAGCTCAAGGTCCTGAGTTCGATCCCCCCCACCACCAGAAAAAAACCCCAAAAAACTAAGGACTGCCTTGGGCCAACTGTCCTTCCTCCCAGGGGCTGTCCTCAGCCAACTGCCTTTCTCCTCAGGGATTCCCTTGGCCAAGTGCTCTTCCTCTTAAGGATGCCCCATTACCAACTGTCCTTCATCTTGAAGGCTGCCCTTGGCAAACACTTCTTCCCTGGAGGGCTGCCCTCAGACAAATGCCCTTCCTCCTGAGGACTGACCTTGGCTAAGTGAACTTCCTTCTGAAAACTGCCCGAGGCTAATAGTCCTTCTTCCTTGGGCTGCCACTTGGCCAACAGTCCTTCCTCCTAAGGGCTTCCCTTGGACAACAGTCATGCCTCATGATGGCTGCCTTTGGTCAACTGATCTTGCTCCTGAGGACTGTCTGTTACCAAATGTCTTTCTTCCTGAAGGCTCCACTTGGCAAACTAATCTTTGCCTGAGGGCTCACCTCAGCCAACTCCCTTCCTCCCTAGGCCAACTGTCCTTCCTCCTGAGGGCTGACCTTGGCCAACGGGACCCTCCTGAGGATTGCCCTAGGCTAATGTTCCTATATCTTGAGGGCAGCCTTTGGCCAACTGTTCACTCTCTTGCACCCTGCCCTTAGCCAACTGCTCTTCTGCCTGAGGACTGGTCTGGGTGAACAGTCTTTCCCTAGAGGACTGCCCTAGGCCAACTGTCCTTCATCCTGAGGGCTATGCTCAGCCAACTGTCATTTCTTTGGAGGGCTGCCTTTGGCCAACTGTCCTTCCCTGAGAATTGTCCTTGGCCAACTATCCTTCCTCTTGAGGAACTGTCCTCCTTAGCCAACTGTCCATACTTGTGAGGAGTGCCCTTGGCCAAGTGGGCTGACCTTGGCTAACTGTCCTCCCTCCTGAGGGCTGCCCTTGGTCAGCAGCCTTTCCTCCTCAGGAATGCCCCTTGGTTAACACTCCTTCATTCTGAGGCCAGCCCTTGGCCAACTGTCCTTCCTCCTGTAGGATGCATTTGGCTAACTGACCCTGCTCCTGAGGGTAGCACTTGGCCTTCTGGAGACCGCCCTGGGTCAAGTGTCCCTCCTCCTGAACGCTGCACCCAGTAAACTCTCCTTTCCCAAAATGCTGCCCTCTACCAACTGCCTTTCCACCTGAGGGCTGTGCTTGGCCCACTCTCCCTCCTCTTGGAGGCTGTCCTCAGCCAACTACCTTTCCTTCTCAGAACTGCCCTTGGCCAAGTCTTTCCTCCTGAGGACTCCCTTCAGCCAACTATTCTTCATTCTGTGGGCAGCCCTTCACCAACTGTCCTTCTTCCTTGGTGGCTGCCCTAGACCAACTGTCCTGCCTGGGGACAGCCCTTGGCCAACTGTCCTTCTTCCAGAAGACTGCCCTCAGACAAATGTCCTTCCTCCTGAGGACTGCCCTTGGCAAATTGTTCTTCCCCTGACGGCTGTCATTAGCTAACTACATTTCTTCCTGAGGTCCGTGGGTCGCCCACTGTCCTTCCTCTTGATGGCTTCCATCAGCCAACTGTCCTTTCTCCTGAAGACAGCTCAGGACAACAGTCTTTCTCCCTGAAGGCTGCCCTTGGCGAATATAGTCCTTTGTCCTGAGGGTGGCCCTTGGCCAACTGCCCTTCCTCCTGAGGGCAGTCCTTGGCCAAATCTCCTTACTCTTGAGGACTGTTCTTTCTCTTGAAGCCTCCCCTTGACCAAATCTCCTTTCCCTGAGTGCTACCTTCAGCCAAGTGCCTTTCCTTATGACTGCTTTTCTCCTTTCCGTGAAGGCAGCCCGTGGCTAACCATCCTTTCTTCTTAGAAGAAAGCCCTTGGCCAACAGTCTTTGCTCCTTCCTGAGGATTATCCTAGGATAGCTGTCCTTTTTCTTGAGGGCTGCCCTTGGCCAACTGCCCTCCCTCCTGAAAGCTGCCCACGGCCAACTGTCGTTCCCCTAAGCACTGCCTCTGGCCAACTGTCCTTGCTTTTGGGGGCTGCCCTTGATCAACTGGTCTTCCTCCAGAGGACTGCCCTCGGCCAACTCTCCTTTGCCCCGAGGTTAGGCCTCATCCAGCTGGCCTTCCTCCTGTGGGCTGCCCTTGGCCAACTGTAGCTCCTCCTGGGAGCTGCCCTTGGCCAACTATTCTTTCTCTGGGGTATGCCCTCGGCCAACTGCCTTTCCTACTCAGGAATACCCTTGGGCAAATGCCCTTCATCCTGAGGATGACCTATTACCCACTGTCCTTCCTGTTGAAAGCTGTCCTTGGCAAACTCTCCATCCTCTGAGGGCTCTGAGGCCCTGGGACAATTGTGCTTCTCCCTCAGGGCTGCTCCCGACCAACTTCCCTTCCTGAGGGCTGCCATTGGCCAACTACATTTTCTCCGGAGGTCTGCGGGTGGCTCACTATCCTTCCTCGTCAGGACTGCCCTCAGCCAACTATCCTTCTGTTATGTCCAGTGGGTCTCGGGTATAGGGGTCCCCAGATTCACCCTCACTGGGCTTGTCTCTCTCTCCAATGTAAAACAAGGGCAGAGGAGTCCGAGAAGACCAGTGCAAAGTGAAAGTAATTTACGGCAGGTATTGCAAGAAGCAGTACAAAGCCACTCCGGGGGAAGACTGGGGGCATTCAGAGCAGAGTCACAGCCGAATCTGGGGTGGTGGTCCTATTTTATGGGGTAGGGGTTCCAACTCCACCCCCCTGAGGGTCGACACTTGATTGGATATTGGCCTTGTGGCTAGGGGTTTGGTCTCATGGACTAATAGGGGAATTTGGGTAGGTGGCAACCTGCCCTAGGAAGGATGGTGTTGCTGCACAGAGGCAGGGGTCAAAACCACAACCTGTCAGCTCAGTGTAACTACACAGAAGCAGTGGGAGGGGTAGGGGAAGGGGAAGAAATAAATATGAGAAAAGGCAAAAAACGGAAACATAGGTTTTGTAAATAGGGAGGGGTGGATGGGGTGGAAGGGAGGGCAGGGGAATGGGGAAAAATAAGAATCAAGATACATCATGTAAAGGTACAAATTCCCAACGATGAATGTCATCATATTGTATACCAAAAATGTACCAAGAAACTTAATCAATAATAATAAAAAAAAAAGCACCGCGGGGATTTAGCTCCTCAGTGGTTCCACTGCCTGCCTTGCAAGCGCAAGGTCCCGAGTTTGATACTCGGTACCAAAAAAGAAAAGCACAGGCTGCCAGCTTGGCTACTTACTGAGATGCAGAGGTGATTTCTTTTCTCCTTCTTAAAGGGTCCAAGTTCCCCAATTTAATCCTAGATAAGAGTCCCAACTGTCCCTATGCTTCTTCCTCCGGGCTGCCCTTGGCCAACTGTCCTTCCTAGAGGGCTGCCCCAAGTCAACAGTCCCTCCCACTGTCCTTCATCCCGAGGGCTGCCTCCTACCCCAGATAGCTGCCCTCAGCCAACTGCCTTTCCTCCAGAGGGCCGCCCTTGGCCAAATGCCCTTCCTCCTGGGCATTACTGTTGGCCAACTGTCTTTCCTCCTGAGGACAACCCTAGGCCAAGTGTCCTTTCTGCTGAGGGCTGCCCTCAGCCAACTGTCCTTCCTCATGAAGCCTGACCTTGGCCAACTGACCTTCTTCCTGAAGACTGTCCTCCGCTAATGGTCCTTCACCCTGAGGGCAGCCCTTGGCCAGTTGTCCTTCGTCCTGGGGACTGCCCTTGGCTAACCGTCCTTCTTCCTGATGACTGCCCTGGGCCACTGCCCTTACCCCCAGGACTGTCCGTTACCAACTGTCATTCCTCCTCAGGGCTGCCCTTGGCAAACTCTCATTCCCCAAAATGATGCCCTCAGCCAACTGCATTTCCTCCTGAGGGCTGTGGCTGGCCCACTTTCCTTCCTGTGACGACTGCCCTCGGCCAACTTTTCTTCCTCTTGTGTGCTACACTTGGTCAACTGTCCTTCCTTCTGATGGCTGCCCTCAGCCAACTTCCCTTCCTCCTGAGAGCTGCACTCGGCCAAACGTCCTTCCTTCTGAGGGCAGCCCTTGGCCCACTGTCTGTCCCCTGAGGACTGCTCTTGGCCAACTGCCTTTCCTCCTGGTGGCTGCCACTGGGCAACTGTCCTTCGCCTTAAGGCTGCTTTTGACCAACTGCCCTTCCTTCTGAGGGCTACTGTTGACCAACTGTCATTTTTCTTGGTGGTTGCCCTTGGCTAACTGCCTTTTCTGCTCAGCACTGCCCTTGGCTAACAGCCTTTCATCCTGCGGACTGCCCTTGATCAACTCTCCATTCTGAGGGCAGCCCTTGGCCAATTGCCCTTCCTCCTGGTGGCTACCCTTGGCCAACTGTTCTTCCTCCTGTTGGCTGGCCTCAGCCAATCGTCCTTCTTCTAGTGGGCTGCCCTCGGACAAATGTTCTTCCTCCTGAAGGTTGTCCTTGGACAACTGTCCTTCCACTGAAGACTATCCTTGGTCAGCTGTCCATCTGGAGGGCTGCCCTTGGCCAACTGGCCTTCCTCCAGAGGACGGCCCTCGGCCAACTCTCCTTCATTTTGAGGTTGGCCCTCATTCAAATGTCCTTCTCTTGAAGGCTGTCCTTTGCAAACTTTCCTTTCCCTGAGGGCTGCCGTTGGACAACTACCCTTCTTCCTGAGGGCTGTCTTTGGCAAGGGCTGTCTTCAACCAACTGCCCTGCTTCCTGAGGGTGGCCATTAGCCAACTGCATTTATTCCTGAGGACTGTGGGTGGCCTACTATCCTTCCTAGTCAGGACTGCCCTCATCCAACTATTTCTTCCTCATGAGGGCTGCTCTCGGCCAACTGTCCTTCCTCCTGAGGGCTCCCCTCAGCCAACTGTCCTTCCTCCTGAGGGCTGCCTCTGACCAACTGTCCTTCCTCCTGAGGGCTGCCCTTAGCCAACTGCCTTTCTTTGCTAGGCCTGCCCTCAGGCAACTGCCCTTCCTCTAGGGTTGCCCCAGGCCAACTGTCCTTCTTGAAGGCTGCCTTTGGCCAAGTGCCCTTCCTCCTGGGGACTGCCTGTGACTGTCTATCTTCTTGAAGGCTACTCTTGGCCAACTCGCCTTCTCCTGAGGGCTGCCCTTGGTCAACTGCCCTTCCTCCTAACAGCTGCTCTTGGCCAAATGCCCTTCCTCCTGGGGACTACCCTTAGCCAACTGTCCTTCCTCCTGATGACTGCCCTAGGCCAACCTTCTTTCCTCTTGAGGGCTGTCCTCAGCCAACCGTCCTCATTCCTGACGAGTACCTGGGACAACTGTCCTCTTCCTGAGGCCTGGCCTCGGCCTCTGGCTTCCATCTGAGGGCTGCCCTGGCCAACTGTCCTTTCCCTGAGGGCTCCCCTCGGCCAACTACCTTTCCACCCAAGGACTTTCCATGGCCATCTGTCCTTTCTCCTGAGCACTACTATCGGCCAACTGTCCTTCCTCCTGAGGGCTGTTCTCAGCCCACATCCTTCCTCCTGAGGACTGCACTTGGCCAACTCTCCTTTTTCCTGAGGACAGCTTTTGGCCAACAGAAATTTTCTGGCCAAGAAGGCCTTCACTCAACCCTCATTCCCACAGGCAAGGGCATCGATGGCGTTACAGACTAATAGTGGACACTCCAGGCCCACTCCCTGGCCTTACGCTGCATCCATTCTATGACATCCTTCATGCTCAGGGTGTCACATGGATTAGGCCAAGGCCACATCTGCCCCGAACTTGCTAGGTTCCCTCTCCTGCGACCACACTGCCCTGACTCTTCCACCTCTTCTCCCAACAGTTCATGCTTGCTAAATCACCCTGCTTCTTGGCAACTAGCCTAAAATAGTATGCAAGCACAAATCTGCTGTGCTTTTCATCTCTTCAGGGGTCTGTGTGTACAGGTATGTGTGCATATGTATATGATAAAACAGAGGATATATTTACAGATGTCAGAAAGCCTGACATCACCTCTCTGCCACCTGCTCTAGCTACACTGTCCTTGGATAACCAAACTCCTACCTCAGGGCCTTTGCACTTGCTGTTCCCTCTGCCCAGGATCTTGTCCCTCAGGTATCTGCCTGGCTCATGTCCTCTCCTCCTGTAAGGGCCTGCTAATGTGTCTGCTTCCCGTCAGGCCTTTCTCCACCATTTATGATGCTCCCATGCCCACTTATCTCCATAGCAATCACCAACTCTTCACGTCCTATGTATTTATTTAAATTGCTTATGTGGTCTCTTCCTGCCCTGTGCAAGCCGCAGTAGCACATAAAGTCCGTGTGAAGAGGGGTTTTTGTCTGCTAAATCTGTATCCTTAGCCGTAGACTAGTATTTGGTACACAAGAAGTTACTTAAGAAATACTGTTTGTAGCTGGGTGTGGTGTCACATGCTTGTAATCCCAGCATTCAAGAGGCAGAGGCAAGAGCATCGCTTTGAGTTCAAGGACAACCTGGGCTACACAGTGAGTTCAAGGCTGCTCTGAACTACATAGTGAGACTGTCTCAACAAAACAGAAATATGGACCAGGAATTTAGCTCAGTGTTCCTACCACCTGCCTCGCAAGCACAAGGTCCCGAGTTCGATCCCTGGTACCAAAAAAAAAAAAGCCTAAACAAACAAAAAACCCCAAAACCAGAACCACTGTTAGAATAAATGAGGATGAGAGAATCTAGTTAACTTTGAAATTGGTCCCTTTCCAATACCATACCAACAACTGGATACTGTCGTGTCTCATGGCAAATAGAGCTCAAAAGGTTGGACACCCCCATGCCAGCTGGCACCCTAATAAAACTCTGGCTGACAAAGCAGAGTGGACTCTGTGAGGGGATACTGAGTCTGGTACGATAAGCTTTTCTTTCTTTGTCTTTCTTCCTTCCTTTCTCCCTCCTTCCCTATTTCTCTTTCTCCATCCCCCCTTTCTTTCCTGTACCAGAGATTGAACCCAGGGCCTTCACACTGAGCTGCAAAAGGAAAGGGGACCAAGAGATGGAGGGAGGGGGGAGGTAAAGAAGGGAAAGAGGATAAAAAAGAATTAAGATGTGTTATATACATGTACCAACTCCCCATGACAAATGTAATTATCGTGTACTCCAAACATGTACTAGTGAAAAATAACAAATGAAAAACATTATTTTAATTTTGAGACAAGAGTTCACTAAGTTGCCCGGGCTAGGCCTGAATTTGGAATCTTCCTGCTTCAGCCTGCCAGAGTGCTGAGATTACAGGCATGTGCCACCACTCCAGGTTGCAATAAGCACTTTTATGAGTGTGTTTGTGTGTGTGTTTGTGTGTGTGCGTGCATGTGTGTGTATGCATAAGAACTGAGAAAGCTATGGGCACTGTGCGCTGACTGCCCCCAGGGCAAAAAGGAGAAGCGAGATGGCGGCACTGCTGCCCATCTCTCTGAGCACCTCAGTGTGAGGCAGCCTGCTCTGTATCTGCATCTCCTCTGCAGATGACACCGAATCAAACTCTCCAGCTCAAAGAACTCAGGGGAAGGTAAAGCATGGCTTCAATGAAGCTTGAGATCACCATCTAAGCAGCCTGTTCCTGCCCATTGTTGCCCACAGCACCACTGCACAGGCCTCAAAGCTCAACCTCCAAGTGCACCTTCCCCTTCCCTGCCCAGCACCTGATCAGCAGCCCTGGGGCCTCACCCTCACTGCCTCCGGGGCCCTGCGACCTCAGCCTCCAGGAGCCCACAGTGCTTTCTCGTGGTGGCCTCGGGCAGAGGGCACCAGGCCTCCAGGGGAAGCTTGCTCCCTTCCTTGATGGACCAGAAACCTTTTCTGGCCCCACAGGCCTGCTGCAGGGAACGCCATCCAAACTCAGCCTGGAAACCAGGAGCCCCACTCTCCCCCGGGCCCCTATAATCCCCCAGAGCACCTCACGTGCAGTAGTGGCTCAGTGGGCTTTTGCGACGTGGGTCTGGTCTAACACTCACCTACAAAGGAACCAGAAGGGAGGGAAGCAACATTTGCTGAGCAGCTACTGCTTTCCAGGCCACGAACGAGGCATCTACGAGGTGAATTTCCTTTCAACATCCACTTCAGCAATCTTGTGTCTGCAGATGGAAAGGTGAACACAAAGAGAGAACTGTAAAGATGAAAGCTCTTATAACACAAGGCCAGCAACTAACATTTCTAAGTATCTACAGGATCACAGCAAGAGTCATACAAAACAAACGCCAGTACGCTGTGACATTTTCAAAGTGCATTACTAAGTTTTACAAACAACAACAAAACAGCGAACTGGCTCTCCACAGTCATCCACAATCTCTAATTCCATGATACAATAGCATCCACCAGACAGGTCCAGCGTGAGGTACACACTGTAATACTCTTTTTATGCTGCTGTTGTTCTGAGACAGGGTCTCGCTACGTAGCTCAGACTGGGCTTGAACCCACGGCAATCCTCCCGCCTTATTCTCTCGAGTGCTGGCTGGGACTGCAGGTGAGTGCCACCTCTCCTGGCTATGTTTTACAATACTCTATGCCACAACACCATCCACCCATTCTATCAACCAGAATATTCCACTGACCAGAAAATCCCACTCCCTATGATGCGGGGCACAACCTATACACTGTGTACTGTCACCACACCGTGCCACTGCACAAGACACGATAACTTCAAGAGAAATTCACCAAGGAAAGACACTCGCCAGAATCGTGGAAAGAATTAAGTTCATGAACTGAGGTTCCACTGTAAAGGAAACAATCAACAGAGTGGAGACAACCTACAAAGTAGGAGGAAATACTTGCCATCGATTTCATCTGATAGAGAGTTAGTATCTAGAAAAAGAAGGAACTCAAAAAACTTAACAAAACCCAGGTAATCCAATCTAAAAATGGGCAAATGATCTCAACAGACACGTCTTAAAGGTAGAAATACAAATGGCCAGGAAACATAAGAACATGCCAATATCATTAGCCATCAGGGAAATGCAAATTGAAACCACAATGAGATATCATTCACCATAGTTACAATCGTTAGTACAAAACAAAAACTGAAAAATAAGGAACGCTAGTGAGGTCGAGGAGAAAGAAAATGTTATATACTGTTGGGAGGAAAGTAAATTAGTACAGCCACTGTGAAGACCATTATGGAAGTTCCTCAAAAACCTAAAATCAGATCTATCACATGACCCAGCAATTCCTCTTCTGGGTATATTTCTAAAGGAAATGAAATAATCATATTAAAGAGATAGCTGCACACCCACGTTTATTTTAGCACTATTCACAATAGGCAAGATATAGAACCAGCCTTGATGTTCTTCAACAGATGAAAGGATAAAGAAAATGTGGTGTATATACAAGAGAGTATTACACAGCCAGAAAGAATAAAATCCCATCATTTGCAGGAAAATAGATGAAACTGGAGGACGTTAAGTGAAATAAGCCAGACACAGAAAGACAAGAACTGCATGTTCTCTTTTATATGTGGGGGGAAACAGCCAACCCCAAAGTAGAGTAGGGATTGCTAGAGACTGGGAAGGGTATATGGGGTGGTGGTGCAGATATGGGGAGGTCGGATTTGAGCAGTGCCTGATGTATACATGTATAGAAATACATTGAACTCCATTAAAATGTACAATTAATATGTGTTAATAAAAACGAATAAAAGAATTTTAAAGGCAGAGAAAGACCAAAGGCACCTGGTAGAGAGGTCTGACGTTTGGACAACAGAGCCACAGAAAGGCAACAGTCTGCTGCCAAGTACTGGCGAGGATGTGGAATGACTGGAACTTTCCTGTCCTGCTAGTGTGGGCATCGAATGGTTTAGCCACTTTGGAAACCAGTATCTTAGTCTGGGCAGGTTGCTAAAACAAAACACCATAGTCTCATACACAATAGAATTTTATTGCTCAGAGTCCTGAAGACTGAGAAATCCCACTATCAAGGTGCCAGCAGATCCTGTGTCTGGTGAGGGGCTGCTTTCTGACTCACAATGCATTCTAGCTGTGTCCTCACACGGTGAAGCCTCTCTGAGGCTTCTTTCATAAGGGCACTAGTTCCATTCATGAGGGCTTTGCCTTCCTGACTTAAGCACCTCCCAAAGACCTGACCTCCTAACACCATCTGTATTAGTCAGTTTTTCTGTGGCTGGGACACAATGTCTGACTCCCACAACTTAAAGGGGGAAAGTTTTAATTTGGCACATAGTTCATGGGATTCAGTCCATGGTAAGCTTACTCCGAGGTAGAAATATCATGGCAGGAGCACGTAATAGAGCAAAGCCGTTCAGTTCATGGCAGCCAGGAAGCAGAGGAGGGAACAAAGCCAGAGAGGAACTGGTGAGGGGTGACATATAGTACCAAGGCCATGCCTCCGTGACCCACCCAGACACACTGAAGGGCATGCTTTACTAACTTGATAGGTGTTTCTTAATCCAATGAAGTTGACAGATCAGGATTAACGGTTACACCATCAGCTTGGTGTTGCGATGAATTTTGGAGGGACATAAACATTTCAAACAGTTGGCAGTTTTTTCAAAAGTTAGCAGTACTACTACCGTATGATCCAGCCGTTGCGCGCGCGCGCGCACACACACACACACACACACACACACATATATCAGAAATGTGTACCTACGTGCACTAAAATCATGTATTAGAATATTCACAGCAGCTATATGGACAATATCCAAGAAAGGAAAGGAAAGAAAAGAAGGGAAGGGAAAATGCCTCTTTATATGTCCAAACCCATATAGGTACAGACCATGGGGAGCCTAAAGGGCATTTCTGAGTCAGTGAACTGTTTAATTTCTTGGTCTCAGTGGTGGTTACAGGCTCTATTCATTTTCTCAAACTCCACCGAGCTATACTCTTAAAATGTGTATAGTGTCCTGAATAAATGTGTTATATTTCAATAAGAAATTTATGGAACAATGTGTGGGATACACTTTAAAGCAATATAGTGTGAGATTTATAATCTTAAATAAACCGAGAAAGAATGCTGAAAACATTAGCTAAGCATCCTCCTCCAGAAATTATATAAAGAACAACTAAATGATTTCAAATAATATAAAAGAGGTGAGAGTAAATGAGATTCTTTCTAAATAGAAAAATTAATTTGACAAATGAAACCCACCCACCACTAAGGGAGAAAATTCATTCTAAAGGCAGAGTTTATTGATCTCATAACTCAGCTTAATATTAAAACAAACAGACTCAGCAATGAGAACAGGAACATAATTAACATGTGCAGCGGGATGCTTAAAGTATGAGAACAAAATGTGAATCTTCTAGATAAGGTGGTAGATTGGCCACAAGCATTTAACTAATTTTTTTCTAAGACAAAATAACTACAAACATTTGTTGGTACAGGGAATGGAGCCCAGGGCTCATGCTAAGCAAGCATGCTACCACTGAGTACCCCAGCCCATATATTTTCCATTTAATGCATAAAATCACCATGTGAACAAAGGGATGGGAAGAGTAGATGTCAGAGAGATGAAAGACGACAAAAGAGCTCTGTGTGGTGACACATGCTTGTAATCCCAGCACTCTGGGAGGCTGAAGCAAGAGGATCTAAAGCTCAAGCCCAGCCTGGGCAACTTAGCAACTTAGAGAGACCCTGTCTCAAAATGTAAAAATAAAGAGGACAAAGCTGGAGAGTTTTCAGGTCTGCTCACACAGTCCCGGGGGACAGGTTAGGCAGTTATCATTATCACTATTGCTTTGGAGATGTGAGCTCAAAAGATTAAATTAGGAAATGATATAACTAGTGCCAGTCCTAAAGGGTACAGAACATGGCCTAAGGATCTGAGAGTTGTTCTTGTTGGGCATACAGAGTAGGCAGAGAGATCAAAAGACAGGCGGAGAGAGGAGTCTCGGGCTTGTCAGGAGTGTCAGGAGATGTCTGGATTTTAGAAGGCAGGGTCCAATGGAATAGTTATCAATTTTGTTTTCAACATTTTAGCTAAAGTTATCAGATAATAATTGGTATAAATATTGTGGGTTCTCAATTCTGGATTTTTTTTGTGGTAGTAGTTGAGGCTAAATCCGTGTGTGCTCTACCACCGAGCTACATCCCCAGCCCTTTTTATTTTGTGAGATACATTCTCACTAAGTTGCCCAGGAGGGCCTTGAACTTGCCATCCTCCTGCCTCAGCCTCACAATTTTCTGGATTTACAGGCATGGGCCACCGCACCCAGCCCAATTCTGGACTCGGGGGCCTCAGTGTGGATCTGGGGTGCTGGAGGATGATCTCATGATGGCAATACAAATCTGGGTCAAGGGCTGGCTTGGAGGACGTTATTAATAGTGTTTTGGAGGTCTTGGGTAAAGGACTAGGAAAATGAATAATACAAATTTTGGGGGAAATCCAGTGCTGCCTCTGTGCGCTCAGATGACTGAGGAGGAGCAATCAGTATTCATATTGTTACAGAGGGTTTAGGTTCAAGACAGAAGAGGCTAATTGATAGAATGTTGAGGGTGAGTGCTTAGTGCTCCCATTTTCTGGGTCCAAGAGAGGTGAACTAAAAAAGGGAATAAACCATATAACTGAATGTTGAGGTGCAGGCATCATTGCTCTGCAGTGGGTGTAAGACCAGGAAGGGGCCTATGTACTGTGACCTTACCACAGCATGGCAGTACCACCGCAAGTGCAGACTTTGTAACTGGTCTTCTTCTCACGCAGTGTCCAGTCACAGCAGGAACTGCCACAGTACCAAGCAAGATGGGTCCATGGCCAGGGGTGCACTCGTGCCATCCTAGGTGTACCAGGAAGGCAGAGGACTCACAAGAAAGCAGCTGCGAATGTAAGATAAGCAGAAGTCAGCAACAAAACCCAGCACCTGGAAGAGTTTCACACACCACCCGCCTGGCACTGATAGAACAAGAACAGTGCCCACCTGCTCTCTTGTTAGTACCAAAGAATGTACAGCACTTACCGAAGAAAGTATTGCACTTACCCCAGAGCTCGTACCCAGGCGACTGAATGTTATTATTTCTGTCACTAGAAGCCTACCTCCATCCCCTGGCTGGCTGGTCTCACCCTAGAAAACCATCAGTAGGCGCGCAGCCTATTTCAGAACGCTCTGCAACGTGCTCAGGTAGGGACTGTGCTCTCTGCCATATCACAAATGAGCAAACTGAGGCACGGAAGAAGCAAAGGACAAGGTACCCACAACCATAAAAGTCACGATGTATCTGGGTCTCTGGCACCACAAGTTGAGCTCAAGGCTTGCCAAAATCGGTACCAAGTCCCCACAACGCCTAGCGATAGTTCCCAGAGACACGACCCCAAGGAAGCACCAGTTCAAACCAGGCTCTGTGGGCCCCAAACACCTCAGGACGCCTCCTCTAGCGTTACCAACCACGTGGAACGCCCTGCACGCTCCGCCCATTACGTAAAAGACGACCCATCACTTACCTTAGGGCCCAAACGTAGAACGAACGCAGCGAAAGCCCCGCCCACACGTAGAACGCTCCACCACCCTGCTCTCAGTGTAGACCGCCAGGACGCCCGCTCACTACGTGGAACGCTCCGCCTGCCACGCCCACACGCAGAACACCGCCCTCTAAATTAGGCGACGAGAAAGCCCTGCCCGTCACGTAGGCCGCCGGATGTACCTGGCCTCCATAGGGCGCCTTCTGCACGATTTACAGAAGTAAATGAGATTGTGGAGTACTGTAGACTAGAGTGCGTGTGGGCACAGTAGAAAAAGAATCGGACCAATTGGGGCTGCGAGGGCTGTTTGCAGAGTGTAAGGGTAGCGTGCCTTGAATAGTGAGAGCATGGAGAGGCAGGACTCACAAATGGAATCTAAGGCGGAGTGAAGCGTGCAGTGTGTTCAACGTGGGCACAGGATGCAGCCCCACTGCTGTAAGAAGCAAGGGCAGCTCAGCAGTTGGGAATTTCCAGTAATAGAGGGAAGAGGAAACTGGGTCTGGGGATGTCATTGATAAGAGAGCAGTAGTCACTGAAAGGAGGAGGAGGAGGAGGAGGTTGAGGTTGTAGTTGTAGCATTTTATAATTGCTGCATGACTTGCGAGGGTTTCCTTGTTAGTTTTGCAATTGTCTTATATATATCTGCCATCCTAGCCTAATTAACAGCAAGACTACCTTTTTCTTTCTTACTCTGAGTTTTCACTCTTTCTGTCCGTAGAGTGGTTTTTGGTCTTTTACCCCACCCCCAACCCCCTTGGCCGAGAGCAGATGAAATCAACCACAGGGCATTATTTTGTGAAATTCAGCTTCAACATCGTCCCGGTTCCATTCTAAAGACAGTTTGGAGAATATAATCTGTAGTGAGAAATGTCCTTTCATCATATTCATTAGTGTTGGATCTATCTGAGAAAACAGAGGCATTTAAGAATCTGGAGGTCCCACATTTGAACACTGTACAACGGAAAATACTAGAAGAATGACTATGGCCAGAATGTATAGATTGATTCTGATTCAAGAGCCAAGTTAACCCAAGTTAAAAGGGCAGATCTGATTGCTGATCTGAAGAGCATGCAAAACCTGGGGACTAGCTAATATACCAAATATCTTGATGTGCTTGTTCATTTCTCAGATATTTTTAGTAAGGTTAAAGATCCCAGGGAGTCTATTGGAATGTAAAAACGACATTCTTTCACCCTCAGAGGCCAGTATTATATCTACATGGTTGTATGCTCAACCACTGCTTGTATGATTTCATAAACCTCGTGGGGGAGGAGTTTTGTGGCCTTGGTGACATCGTCTAGTTCTTCTGCTATTCTTTGAACAATAGCATGTGGGATTGTCTCCATTTTCCTGGCTTCTTATAAAGTATTGGATGCAGAAGTTTGGTAGGCAGAAGGAAGTAGTCCAAAAATCTTCTTGAGTGGTTAAAACCTTTGACCTCAAAGTCCAGTTTCTCTAGAATCAATTTATCTAAGGACCTGTTTCTCCAACACAGAAATTTAATGGACCAAAACAGGCCCGGGGTGATATCAGGGATATTTTGAAGGCAGGCATTAGTTGAAGAAGATGATAGGTCTTGTCGAATTTACAGATGGTAGTCAATAGGCATTTATGTCACAAATCGAATGAATGCCAGTCTTCAGGGGACAGCCAGTGATCTGTGTTTGGCCAAAATAACCCATATGGGGTTGTGAAATAGTATTGTTTTTGCACCATTTAGCAAGAGTGGTCTGCTGCTGAGCATTGCCATTTTAATAATAGAAACTATCAGGCCGACCTAAGTCAAAAGAACTTGGACTTGAGCCTATATGCCCTTTTTTTGTAAGTTGCAAAATGTGAGATAGCCTCTGAATACACACCATCACTTCCTCAGTTCTATCTTGATGAAAGTTCACTTATGAAAAATTAAAATTCACAAAATATTCCCAATATTGTTTCAGTGGATAGAAGAATCTCCTCTTTTAGGTAAAACGTGTAAGGAACTGAATTTCGTTTTACTGGCCTATTCTGGTGTTTAACATCTATAAAGTCATCTCATTAGTTGGTAATTGACTAGAGAAAGAAAGAATCAAGCATTTATCTTGACGTTCTAAAGTCAACTATACTTTATTGTAATCAGATAATTAAGGAATGGTAGAATTAACTATTGTCAATCTTTAATGAGTTAATGGATCTATGAAGCAATCACCAATAGGTGATACCATTATAAGAGAGATGGCTAGTGAATATGTGCCTCCTGTAGTGGTCATCTTTGTAGTGGTTTTGAAAAAAAATAGAATTTGAATAAGATCAACCCCTAGATATAACCACCATTCAATAGAAAATGCAAGGTATAGAAAAACATGTTTAACAACTACATAGAGAGGGAATCAGCAAAATTCAGACTAGGAAACTGCAGGGAAAATGGCCTGGGTTTTGCAATGGCACCAAATAAAATGCAAGAAAATCCATTAGCAAGAGAATCTATAGATTAACTACACATTGAGAACTGTCAACCATTTACGAAGGTTCTACACTTTTTTTATTGGTACATTTTAGGCATACAATATAATGACATTCATCATTGGAAATTTGCACCTTTACATAATCTCTCTTGGTTCTTATTTTGCCCCATCCCCGGCCCTCCCTTCAACCCCTCCATCCCCCCCCATTTACAAAGACTTGGTTTCCATTTTTTCATTTTCTCATATTAATTCCATTCCCTTCTTTCCTTTCCCCTACCCCTCCCTCTTCCCCCTCCCCTTTGCCCCTTTTCTTCCTATTTCACATTATCTATTTTACCTTTTAGTCCTTATTTACACTTTCAGTTTCTCACACTAGAGAAACTATTCAGTATTTATACATGTCTGTCCTGATTATTTCACTTAAGAGCATCACTTTCATGTGCATCCATTTAACTATAAATGTCTCTAATTTCTCATTTTTTATGGCTGAATAGTACTCCGTTTTATTTAAAAAACCACATTTTCTTTATCCAGTCTCCAGTTGATGGGCAATTGGGCTGCCTCCAAGTTTTAGCTATTACAAATTGTGCTGCTATGAACATGGGTGCACATAGATCACTGTGGTATGATTCTTTTAATTCTTTGGAGAAGATACCCAGCAGGGGATCGCGGGGTCAAATGGGACTTCCAGTCCTAGTTCTTTGAGGTATCTCCATACTGATTTCCACAGTGGTTACACCAGTCGACACTCCCACCAGCAGTGGAGCAGGGTTCCTCTTTCCCCACAGCCCCACCAGCATTTGTTATTGGTTGATTTCATGATAGCAGCCTTTCTTTCTGGAGTGAGGTGGAATCTCAGCGTTGTTTCATTTGCATCTCTGGAATCACCAGTGATGTTGAACATATTTGATTATGTTTATTTGCTGTTTCTACTTCTTTGTCTGAGAAATGTCTGTTCATTTCAGATGCCCATTTTTGGATTGGGTCTTTAAATTTGGGAGGTCTGATTTTTTGAAGTTCTTTATAGATTCGAGATAGTAGACCTTTGTCTGAGGAACAGCAGGTGAAGATTTTTTCCCACATTGTGGGTTGTCTCTTCACGTTGCTGTTGGTTTCTCTTGCTATGCAGAAGCTTTTTAATAAGAAGAGATCCCACTTGTTGATTGTTTGTGCTAGTTCACGGTCAACTGAGGTTTTCTTCATAAAATCTTTTCCTACACCAATGTCTTCAAGACTTCTACTTAACCTCTGTTCCAGCCGGTTCAGCGTTTCTATTTTAATATTTAGATATTTAATACATTTTGATTTTAAATTAGTGCATGGTGAGAGATATATGTCTAGTTTTAATCTTTGGCAAGTTGAAACCCAATTTTTCCAGCACCAGTTATTAAAGAGGCTATCTTTCCTCCAGTGAGGGTGTTTGCCTCCTTTATCGAGGATGAGATTGCTGAGTGTTTCTGGAGTTGTTTCAGCATCTTCTCATCTGTTCCACTGGTCCTCCGGTCTGTTTCTTTGCCAGTACCATGCTGTTGTTATCACAGTAGCTTTGTAGTATAGTTTCAAGTTGGGGGTTGTGATGCCCCCTGCCATGTCTCTGTTACCTAGAATTGCTTTTGCTATGCTGGGTCTCTTCTTGTTCCAAATGAGTTTTTGGATTGTTTTCTCAAGGTCCATGAAGTGTAGTGGTGGGATTTCAATTGGGATTGCATTGAATCTATATAGCAGTTTTCAGAATATGGCCCTTTCACTATGTTGATCCTTCCTACCCAGGAGCAGGGGATGTCTTTCCATTTTCTGATATCATCTTCAATCTCTCTTTTCAGAGTGGTACAGTTTTAAGAGAACAGGTCTTCGATTTCTTTAGTTAGGCTGATTCCTAGGTATTTCAGTTTTTTGGATGCTACTGTGAAAGGAATTGTTTGCCCTATTTCTGTCTCAGTGAGTCTGTTGTTTGTGTAGAGGAAAACTATTGATTTTTCTGTGTTGACCTTGTATCCAGATACTCTACTGAATTTGGTTATTAAGTCTAGAAGACTTTCGGTGGCGTTCTTGGGGTCTTCTTTTCTTTTTTTTTTTTTTGGTACTGGGGATCGAACTAAGGACCTTGAGCTTCCAAGGTAGGCATCGGAACCACTGAGCCAAATCCCCAGCCCTTGGGGTCTTCTGTGTAGAGTATCATGTCATCTGTAAATAATGCCAATTTGACTTCTTCATTTCCCATCTTTCTTACATTTATTTCTTTCTCTTGTCTAATTGCCATGCCTAATGTTTCCAAAACTATATTGAAGAGGAGTGGTGATAGTGGACATCCTTATCTTGTTCCTGATTTTAGTGTAAAGGATTTCAGTTTTTGACCATTTAGTATGATATTGGCTGTTGGCTTTTCATAGATGTCTTTTATCAGATTGAGGATGAGACCATCTATGCCAATTTTTTGTAGGGGTTTTATTATAAATACGTGCTGGATTTTGTCAAATGCTTTTTCTGCATCTATTGAT